TTTGAACCTGGGAATCATTTCTTATGAAGGAAACACTTGTGTTGTGTTTTGTGTTGGGGGTTAAAAAAGAGAAAAAAGAAAGAGTATGTTGTTAATTGGATGGTGGATGGTGACTACAGAGTGACAAGCTGACTTTATATTTTTGGTATTTTATATAAAAATATGAAGGTGTGTATGGTATCTCTGCTATTTGTTATTTGTCTTTTTTACGAAGAGACATTGATCTGATGCAGTTGTAGCAAGTGTCACTTCACTCTTAGTTGTCATCTTTATCTTTTAACAATACACCTTCTTTTATGCCCTCTTTCCATCCTACAAAAATAGCAGGTAAGAGACAACTGCAAAAAAATTCTAATTTCTATTGTTTCAATCATCCATGTAAAACGGAGGGAAGAATTTTTTATTTTATTTTTTGACTGTGCTTCACCACGAAAAATAAAATCCTTACCAAAGGGAGATGAGTAGTGATGGTGCAGGTTTTTTTATTTTATTTTTTAATTAAGAAATATAAAAAATTTAATTTTTTAACTTAATTTTATTTTTATAGATATTTTTAATATAATTCAAAATATTTATACTCTTTTTTATAAATATTTCATTTTTATACTCTTCTTTACTCATCAAAACAAATGAAAGAAATTTTTTTATCATTTTTTTTTATTTCAGCTCATACATAGTCAAATATTTTTCTCTTTATTTCTCGTTTTTTTATATTATTTTTTTCTCTGTTTCATCTTACATCTAAGTATATCATTGGAAACAAAAATAAAAACAAAAAAGCATCCTCTTTGTCATGCACTTCATTCCATTATATTTTACATTCATACTATTTTCAGATTTTTTTTCTTCATTTATTTATTTACTTTATGATCAAGAAATATAGGCGATAGCTTTGTTTGAAATTGGATCCTACGTGATTTTTAAGGAAGAAAAAAAAATTACTCTTTTGGCGAAACATAGTTTTGCCCTAAAATGAATGTTGAATTAATTGAAAAAAAACTTTCTATGCTAGGTTAAAAATTATATTATATTGTATTTTCTTTTGTGTTAAAGGAATTTTACGCATAAATAATTTTAAATTTAATTATTTTCAACTAAAATAAATTCTACAAAATGAAATTCGTTCATAATTAATAAAATTAATAAACACTTAATTAAACACACGAATGCTACGGTATGAAGAGATCATGTGTGAGATATGAATGTCTTGTATATAATAGAATTGTCAAATAGAATCTATTAACAGTTCGTTGACGTGATGATTTATAATAATCTATACAAAACTTATTGTGCATAAACAATGCTTGATGGCAACAAAAGCTGAGATACGGATATGCATATTCTTCCAGTTGCTTAATTCAAATTTTAATGGCAACTTAATTTTTAATAATATTTTCATATCATTGCAATTGTACATTTAAAAATTTATTAAAACATTTCAATATTATTTTTGATCAAAATCACTTCACTGTAAATTTACTTTTAACTAAAATTAATTTATAAAATTAAGATTAATCAAAACTATGGTAAAGCTTGAACTCACCCATTTCCATATTTTGTTGGATATAGTATTACTTTGCTGGATATTCTATATTTTGTCATTAAGATTTTTTTTAACAGTAAATTTAGAATTGAAATTTGATAAAAATTAAATGCACGATAATTTATCAAACTCATATTTTATAATTATCAATATAATTTATATATTTTTTCTTTAAAGGACAGCGATGTCGAAGAGGATCTAAATTTATTTTATGTGGGACTCGTTTTTTTATTGACTTTTAAATCCTTTTCATCCAGCTTTTCTTTTCACTTCTCTCTAATAAAAATTACAATCAACTAATAATTTTTTCATTTATATATTGCACAGGTAATATTAAATAAAATAATTTTTAATAAATAATATATTATATAATTATTTTGATATAATAGTATTTTATCGGGCCACCAAGATTTTCAATCTTTCTTGTTCTTCTCCAACGTAAATTTGAGTAGACATTCCTTCAATCTGCTCTACTGTGAGGTCCACACCACAGGATTTCCGCAGATGGAGGATAATCATATGCAATGCTTTGGTAAGTTAAGCACTTTAAACAATTTCAAAAGGATGAGTTTGGAACTTTTATATTGAAAATGTGATTTGCTTAACATTTGCATATTCAACCTTGTTGATTTTTGTGGGGTGATTAATATTGATCTAAACTTTAACATATATCATTATCATTATTCATGGATAGATTAAGTTCATTTTAGTAAATGTAATTGGTCATAAATAACCTGCAAAGATAAAATTTAGTTGTAACATTTCAAGTATGTATGTTCCGCATTATTAATTAATTAAAGTTGAAATGAATATCTTCTAACTTGTAATATCAACTTTTATTACCTTAATTACTGAAATACATTTTAATAAGAGATTTTAAATTTGTTCTTTCAATTACGACATCAAAATTTCAAAGTTCCACGAGCTTACGTACGAAAATACTTATATAAAGACAAAGCTAAGCCCACTTTTCTGTATGGAAAACTCGTGAGATTAGTTTAACTTTATCATCCAAAATGGCGATAACAACTGATACGTTTTGAGAAAAAAGTGGTCCTTTTTAGTTCCTTATCTGTATTTGTTGATTCACCATGGTTTGCAATCTCTTTGTCAACTTCCAAGCAAAATATAAATAGGTCAAATATAACATGTCCCTATGCTTTAAAAAATGTTAAAAGAGATGAAAATTCATCTGTCTCCACGTCTGACTGAAAAGTGAGTATCATAGTGCAAATTTTGAATGTATCCTAATGTGGAAACTATTTTACACACATAATTTTAATCAATCTCAATCATGTGCTTCTATCAATCATCAATCTTTGGAAATATTCTCATGCGGACACCATATACTCAAGTTTAAGCCACGTTTTCAAGCCAACTATGATACACAGTACGTTCTCTGTATAAATTAATTTCCGTTTTAGTGAATTATTTTACAAAAGCCAAGGGGCCAATGACTAATTGTTCATTGTTTAAGGTTAGAAAATAATTAACGTAGCAAACTAAGGAGCTAATCACGGCATGTTAAATAGATCTTTGCAAACTTATTATTTAACTTCTTATACCATCGATTAAAATATTGTGTTGCTGTGAAGACCGAATCATTTTCATTCAAAACTTGAAACCAGAATTACAGAAGAGGGTAACATTCTTCCTCTAACTGTGTTTAACTAGAGAATATTGACGATGGCTATGATTAACAAAAATAACTATTAAGTTTAAACGTTAAAAACTTAATTTTTAAGTTATCAGCTGAAAATTGGAAGATGTTAAGTTATCTTATTAAATCAGAAGTATTTAATAATGTAAAATGACGTCAAATATAATTTATGTATTTATATAATTTATTTTATAACTAAAATATTTCAAGTCATTATAATAAAAAAAATTTAGTTAATTTTAAGCTCTAATTTATTTTAAAGATTATGTATTTTATTAAAAATAAAAATAAATGAATAATAATAATAATAATAATAATAAGTATTAAAGTTAAACGCTAATTCAAGTAACGTCTAAAACATGCTGGTTGTATAAGAAATTTGTTTATTAAACATTTATTTAAATTAAATCATAAATCATTAATTATAAGTTGGTCTAAAATTGAGACAGCTTCTCAAACACACTCATATATTACTTTCTCAAAAATAGTAAAGGAAATCAGAGTAAAAGTATGTAATTGTTTTATGAAAATTGATAGCTTGCTTACTGTTAAACAAGCCGATTAGATTTTTAGCTGAAACAAATTGACAGGTCTCAACTAATAAATTTTCAAACGATTGGACATAAATGAGGAACTTGTTTCTCTGTCAGGATTCTTAACACTAACCCAGGTGAAATGTGAAGAACAATGAACACACAAAATTTTACATATGAAGTGTATTTATGCGTTTAATAAAAGAGAAATTCAATTTATTTATATTTTTTTACAAAAAAAAGAGAAGAGATAAATGTATAGGATATAAAATAATTAATGCAACGAAGAGAAATAAAAATATCATAAAAAAAGATTATATGAAGAATATAATTCAAAGCAAAATACGGATAGAAATATTAAGAAAAAATCCAGCATGGGTTACGTTGTGGATGGATAGTAATGGTGAAACCTATGAAAGAAAATTTTTTATATTGGTCTAATTTAATTGATTTAGATCATCAACTTCTCTTTGCTCCCAAAAACTATGAAGTCTAAATTGCCACCATAGCCGCTGATGGTAATTGAAGTCTGCCTAATCTATTTTTCTCTCATTGGGTCAAGCTCATACCCATTGTCGTGCCCTTTTTTGTGAGTGCACATCAAGGATATCGCCAACAGATGATCAAAGGTATAACCTTTTGAAGTTTAAGGATTATCAAATTGAAATCGCTCTTCTAATAAAGTTTTTTTTAATACACACAACACTAAGTTAATGTTTAAGAAACTCACTATTTACTAATTATGTCAAACTCTGTTGATCGTTGATGAGTTCTTTGCTGATAAGCCATGAAATGTGCAAAGAAACTTTTGAACAGTATAGAATTGAACCAATCCAATTCTTTTATGACCACTAATATTGGTTGACGATCCATGAACAATATATTAGCCATTATGACCATAACATGTTTTATTATTTCTATTATATCCATGAAATCCCTGTTTTCTTCAAATTCTTCATTTCGTTCATGACTGAGATTTGTGGATTAATAAATAAGATTAAGATAGGATTCCTAAGGTGGACATTTCCGAAAATTGCATTGGCAAAGCTTAAAGGATTAGCAAAATCTTGCTATTGAACATTTTGATAATGATTGATGAGTAAAATACTAATACAAACACGCAGTCGTTGGTCTTATTACCATTCCCACGAATTAAGCATACCCACGGCGTTGAAGAAGGATGATTGGAATAATGCAATTTCTCCTACTCTATCCTTCCCTTTAATAACATTTTCTTTTTAAAGTTCAAATACACAGCTGTGTGAACAAATAGATACCTCAATAATGCAGCAACATAATTGTAGAAATCACGTGGAAAAGAGTATCAACGAATAAAATATCACAATTTCACAAGGAAATGAATGAATACAATGAAAACATTGGGACTTCATCCAACTCAAATTACAGTATAGAAAAACCCGACGTATAACCCAGCGGGCCTAAATTGAAGCCAAGTATGACTAAGCATAAACATTACTAGTACATTTTATCTATCTATCCTCTTTGGAAAGAAAATCAATTGAATTCTAACCCCAAAATAATTGAACCTAGCTATTCTACAACATCCTTTACTATTCTATTAAATTATAAAACGATTAGAAGGACTCATACATTGAATCGTATTGCTCTCTGACCTTGAGCCAAAAAGGAAAAAGCTATTGTTTGACTTACTGAACTCTATTCAAAATGAATCATAGCGTTTGCTGGGGCTTTTGTTTTCAAGACCATCTCTTCATACTCATCTTCAGGGTTTGACAGAGCAACAATTGCCCCTCCAGCTCCTATTGAAGCTTCACCCTCGTGTATAATGACTGTTCTTATGACAATATTTAGATCAAATGTCTGATTATACGAGAAAAATCCAATACAGCCTGAGTAGATACCTCGAGAACAACTTTCCAGAGAATCAAGAAGTTCCATTGATCTCAACTTTGGTGCACCTGTCATTGAACCACCAGGAAATGCAGCTTTGACACAGTCCACAGCACTGACATCTGACCGTTTCTTACCACGTATCGTACTCACCATTGTGTGAACAGTTGCATATGATTCCACATCCATGAGGTGTGGCACATGAACAGATCCAGGATCACAAACACGACCAAGGTCATTCCTTAGAAGGTCAACAATCATCAAGTTTTCAGCCTGATCCTTTTCACTGAAAGAGAGAAAAGCAAGTTAGTTCACAACAGATTCACCCAACTGAACCAAATTCAGAATGTTTTGCTATATCAACATATTATAATTCTGGATATTGAAAATCTGTATGAGAAAGGCCAATTGGAAATTAGATCTTGAATTCTCGCAAACATTTAAACTGATAACAGATTCATAACTAAAATCACGAGTTTGTTTGCAACCAAATATGGGTATCACACATTTCAATGAGTCTTGTCTATTACAAATTATTGAAGAAGCATTAAATATTATTGGAAGTTGAAAATTTTAATGCATTGCATGACAGACGATGTGCTAAGAGAAATGTTTCCAAAACATAAACTGAAGTGGTAGAATTTGTTAAAATAGTGATAGATAGAAACAAAAATAGGTTACCTGAACTGTAATTTCAATTTGAGTTGCTCATCTTCCTCTTTGGTAGCACCACGAGCTACTGTACCCTTGATGGGCTTAGCTTCAAGAGTACCATTCCTATCCAACTGCAGGAACCTCTCAGGAGAAGAACAGCAAATACACAGATCCTCATTTGAAAAATTAAGCCAAGCAGCATAAGGTGATGGATTCCTTTCTCTCAAATGCAGATAAAATCCAAGAGAATTTAATTTCTCTACAGGTTTCCTTATCTGAGTTGTGAGACATAACTCATAACTTTCTCCATCTTTAATGTAGTTTAGACACTTCTTAACATCCTCAATGTACTGCTCTCTAGATTTTTCAGCTGCAAAACCAGCTTTACTTGAGGAAAAAGTTAAGGGATGAGAGTTCTGTCTTTCCAAAGCCATTCTCACAGAGCCATTTAAGCTCAGAAGTTTATCCTCTGCTTCATCCAACCACTGTGTAATACTTGAGCTTTCTTCATGTATAGCCAACAAATAAACATCATCATTTTTGTGGTCAATAGCTACAAGATTATCAGCAAAGAAAAAACATGCATCTGGAGTTTTAGATTTGTGACGGTTAGATGTGACACCACATTCAACTTTGAGGTCATATCTGCAACACAAGAAAATCAATTTTCGTCTAGTGTTGGTTCCCGGGAGAGATCACATTGAAATTATAGAATTTTAGATGTTGGAGGAAACTTTGAGAACAGAGACTAAATACTCTGAAATTGAATTGATACAAAACCTAAATAACTAATTTTTGTTTATACTAATACTAAATCATAATCCTAATAAAACAAGAAATAAATCATGGGATAACAGGAAAATATGAAAATTATTTATAAATGACAATCTAAGATATTCTAAATTATTCCAAGATATAATTAAGACGCAATTGGAAACTTTTCACATTCTCTTTCTAACACTTTCTCTCTCAAGCTAAAGCTCCCTAAGCTTTAAATTGATTACAAAACCGATTAAAAATAATACAAGCACCAAACATGGCTGGAATTATCATTATCTTGGGATTGAAGATCGGTGAGACAAAGCAACTAGGATTGAGGACTAACAGGGCAAATGAGTCTAGGACAGAGATCAAGTGATCAACAGGGTCAAAGTCTAGGTTTAAGACTGGTGGGCCCAGAACATCAAGGGCCAGATCGCACTTAGGACAAACCAGTAGGGCCACAATAAAATCTTGCAAGAAACACATGTTTAGCAAGAAGGTTAGGATGGATAACATCTAACATATCAAAATGAAGGTCCACAATAGTTTGAACAAAATAAATGCAGGGCTATCATTCTTTCAAAACTAGTGATGATGCCCAAAAACTAGGACACAAACTGACTACATGAAATGGGAGAAAGAAGGAAGGCTGAGAAATAATGGCTATACCCATGGAAGCTAAAAGTAAAAGCATCATACATAAATAAAAAGATACAATTAGAAAACCATCCAATTGCTTGACATATGCTTAAGAATTTAGGTTGCCTAACTCAATGTAGACATAATTGCTTCACTTCACCACCTACCCAATGTAACCAACATATCCTCCGTGAAAGTCAAATGGCAGACCTTCATATTCATGTTTATCATAACGATATGATTGAAGCTCCTGCAACATTATGAAGGCAACATATGAATGAGGAAGAAAGGAATTAAAGGAAAAAAATATTAAATATATTTAAGAATGATTGTTATAAATATGAACATATGCTCTGTCATGATAGGTATGATCCAAGTATGTTAGAAATAATTTAAATATGCAGTAAGATGATATATACATGAGAGATTCAATACACTTATACACACAAAAAATGACTTTCTGATATGTTAAACCTGTTTACATTATCTTGAATCCTAACCCATCCCCTCTTTCATTCCTTAACTTCATCTCTGATCAAAGCAAAAAAATCCAAAGCCATGGCCTTTTATTGGTCTGAATCACAAGAGAATGGACAATAAGGATCTTCTTTGTATATAACAGAATCAGAATATTTGTTCTGCTAGCATATTTCCTGTTTAGGATAAACCTTTTGGATAAAATTATAATTTTCAACAGAGAAAAATGGGGGCAGTATAGATAGGGGGGATAAGATATCCTCCAAATGCAGAAACTAAATGTAACAGGTGTTGAGGATTAATTATGAAGAATTCAGGCAACAAATATGGAACTCCTAATAGAAGCTCAAATAACATGTCAATGATCGATTCTCCTAGAAGTTTTAACTGTCAGGAAGAAGCCCAAGAATGTTCTTATATGTCTAACAATAAGGAATATACTAGTTGAGGAGTGTGACATGCAAAAATAAAGCATAAAAAGACCGACACAGTTGCAGTGTATACCTTGTTCAAAAAATCAAGAAAACCATCTTCCAAGAATATTGTTTTGGCCGAACCTTTAGAATCTTCAATTGACAAATATCCACCACCTTTTGAACACCCATCACTGGAAAAAGAATGAAATTTTAGATATATAACTTATATACTTCTATCTACAACAAATGGTAGAAATAGTGTGATAGAAATATTTTTTCATGTCAATGCATCAAAAAAGATAATTAGTACTAATAAAGCATGCAATACAATACAAGAAGGTAACCTATTTTGATGAAGCCCATTCACCAACACCTTACATAAAATAATGTAATCTACAAAGGAAAAGAATCTAAAATGTAGAAGAGAATTGAAGAAGTGAAAGAAATTAAAAACTAACAGTTAAGAAGATTAATTTCAAACCTTTGATCAGACAATCTGAATGTTAACTGCTTCCAAAGTGATCCACCTTTTCCTCCCATAAATGAAAATCTTGCTCTTCCCTACTTAAGATGAGAAGAATATTAATAAATATAGTACAATAAGTAGTGCATAATGAAACATTTTATCTCAATATAAGAGATGCTATGCTGCTCGATGATTTTAGTTTAAAGATCCAAATTAGGAAAGATCTATGTATTGTGTATTATAGAATTTATAGAAATTACCTTCTCTGTGGACGAACTATCCAACCAAAAGGTATTTTCAGTTTCCTGTCCAAACAACTGACAAAATATACTTCTTGCTCCACCAACTTGACCAGCCAAGCGACCAAATTTCTTCCATTTCAACTTCAAACATTTATAATCAGTGCTTGCATGATCAGCGTTTAGCATGTCAAACATTTCTGAACGTTTCATCTCAGCATTATTGCATGCAATATGTCTAACTCCATTAACAACTTTTTTTAACTGATCCACTTCATTATTCTCTGAACTAACACTTCTGCAAACTTCTCTGTAGTGTCTATTAGCACTTGAAACCTGCATGCATGCTAAAGAAAGTTTACTGCTCAGGTAAATTATACAGAACTAACATTTTTTTAAGGCTAATGGAAACTAAGAACAAATTTATGGAGCATGTAAACAATTTCAAATGAATATTACTCTAGTTTAGGAACAAAGTGGCATACAAGATACAACTTCATAATTTGTATCAGACCATTTTTTTTCTCAAAAAATTCTAAAAAACAGCAAAAAAGGCAGAGAGGCATTCTCAATCATTAAACAAACATCAATCCTCAAACTAGTATCCAGACAAAGAATTAGATAAGCATTGATGACAAACAAAGTAGATAATAATAACAAAGTTCTTTAGTTTACCATCAGAATGAACATGCTTGTCCTTGTATGATGGCCTAAATCTCAGCCAATAATTTTCTGTAATCTCTCTAAAATTCTTGAATATTTGACTTCCATGGCATGTTGCAACACTCTCCGGATGAAACTAAAGGTCAAAATTGTTGAGTTGAGCAAAGTTAACAAATAATAAATAAATATAAATGCAAAGCAAAGAACATAGACACATCATTTATGCACTTAACACCTGCACACCATAGTGTGGTCTTGTGGAATGCCTAATTCCCATGAGAACTCTTGCACTTCTAGTTCGTCCATAACCAACATGGTTTGAACTTCCATTTCCTACTTCAGCTAAAAAAGGATCAACAAAAATGCTTTGATCTGTCTGACTTTCATGAGCATTTAATTTGCCAGAATCTTTGGGCCCAATAAATGGAAGTGTGCTATTGGAGGAGGTCCATGCTATTGGAATGAGATCTTCAGGAAGTGATTCTGAATCTAAAACCAGTGAATGATATCGAACAACCTGAAATATATGACAAACAATAATTATGACTAGGAGGGTAGATCAGATACCTCTTAATTAACTTTGACATGAAAAGACAAACAAATTGCAAGAGCGAAGTTTGCATCCATAATTTTGGATGAAGGACTGCATTGCTGCATCATCTCAGATATTATCAACTAGTTATGTACTTTCAAAGCCAATTGTTCTGAAATACAATTATGGCAAGGGACTAAAGTAGGAGGCTTTTGGTTGTGGAATGTTTTATAATTCTTAGGAATGGCTCTCTCTTTTGATTAAATTGAATTGAACAAGGGTGATTCTGGGACAACGGCCAAGGTTGCTATGAATGTGCAAATCAACCAAACACATTAATCAAAGACCAATAGGTGGTATGCCGTGAAACCAACACCATGTTTAGCCCTTCCTCACTCACCCAGCCACCCAATGTCTCCCTTTCCCCAGGGAGAAAAAGAAGAAACAGTAGAAAAACCTCCACTGACAAAATTAGAAGGAAGACGTCTTCCTTATCTACTAATCTTTATTTATACTTGAATAAGAAAAAGAAAATATTGTATTAAGAGAGTAGAATAATACAGGCCAACAGGATCAAGAATCCTTCTAAAACAAAGGAGACAAGGAAAAAAGAGAAATAAAGATGAAAAAAACAGCTGAAAAGCCATATATTTGACAAAAAAACAAATCAAAGAAAACCACAAGAAGAAGTCAGAAAGAATTATAAGGTATTGGCTCACTTTGTGTAAACTTTTAGATAAGTCCTTATAGGAGAAAAAAATTAGTATAAAAAATGAATAAAACTTTTAGAAACAACTTACCTCTTCAAATTTTAAAGAAGTTAAATGAAAAGGCTTCTCAAATAATAGAGAAACATAAGTTGTTTCTAATTTATTAAAGAAATTTTATTTATTTTTTATATGATTTTTTTTTTCCTATAAGAATTTTTCTAGAATTTTATCCAAACTAGGCCATTATTTTTTAACCAAATGTACCACATGTTTGCAAAATGGACACAGCACCACAAAACCTTTCCTCCCTTGTATCTATTCATCCCCTAAAAATAATTAGAGATAAAATTCTCAAGAGTCAAACAAATTTAGAATTCACCAAGAAACCCGAACAATTTAGCCCATAAATGCAGAGCAACCGCGCAATCTAGAAAAATTAAGATTAAAAGTTGGAGTTTCCTAGTGTCAAAATGACCTGTATGTACAAAGTATGAATATGATAAGCTTAAAATTGAATTCTATGAAAAGATTCAAATTCTTTAAAAATGACTTTGAAGGAATCAAATTTGTATTCTTTCAAATATATGGTGGTGAACACACCTTGAAACCAGAATTTCCACCAGAAGGTATATCACGAAAAAGCTGGCAGCCGGTGTGCTCAATTTCACTGTAAAATACAAAGAGATAGTAAGACCAAAGGAGAAGGAATGGATAGAAGACTTGTAACATTTTTTTTTAGGTAAATCTATTTTTGCGTAGAAATTGCATAATATGTAATGAAAAAACAACAGATACAGTTTTAAAATGTTTAACCTTACCTTAAACGCCCATGGATGGGTTCAGATGCATGGACAACTTGAGCTCCATGCACATAACCTAATGCCTATCAAATCATAGATTAACCAATTAAACAGAAACATAATGTAAGCAACAGTGATGAAAGGCAATAGTATGACCTATTATATTACAAATCAAAAGGACAAATTAAAACAGGATTAAGTTTAATCTATTGGCAGTAGCCAAAGCAGGACAACAAAAGATTGTAAGGCAATTGTGAATACATTGATAGTCAACATCAGGCATTTGTTAACAAGAGTTCCCCCACCATATTATCAGGATTCAGACATTGACCAACATCAGGGATAATACAGCTTGTACATCGTTTATTACATTACTGCCTTAATTCAGATAACCATTTTTATAGAGTATAAAATTAAATATGGAACAATTTAAAAAAAAAAAAGTGTATCATCTTAATATTTTTGAACCCAAGTGTATTATCATCAAGTGTTGTTTTCCCCTTTTCCTTCTTGATTCTAGATCTAGCATAGCAAACATGAGAATGTAATAAAATTTTCATCACATTTCTGCATAGAAATCACACTAGTGGGAATTTCCATTCCATTGCAAGCTGTCCAATTTCCATTGCATCAAAAAACTTTGTATCGTACTAAATGTAATGGTAGGACACACAACTTATCTTCTCAAGAAGAAACGAGATTAAGGGTTAATGTGACAAACGCTACTTAGATGCTATCATAGTATGATTACATAATATTTTAATAGGGAAGGTTAAACCAAAAATAGACGGATAAATCTGCTGTATGGTAACACAAGACCTGAATTCAAGAAATACAGTGCACTATTCTATATTGAAACTTGTGTATGATATTAGTAGTACAAACTGAAACCTGAAAAAGGTTTTTACATAGTTTTCAAGAAAGGAAGAAAGCATGGCCCTTTGAAGGTTTGAAAAGAAAGAAAGGGTTCAGATTAGACAGGAGGAAAAAAGGGAACAATCTTGCAAAAAAGAAAATAAAATACCTGGTGACCTAGGCAAACACCCAGAACAGGAATATCCCAGCATTTAAGCAATAGCTGAAGACAAATGCCTGAAACATACAAAACCATTTCCAAAAAATTAAAAATAAAGAATTTTCCACACTTCATGAAATAAAGATCAATCAAATTAAATCATAATATTAAAAACTGTATACTGAATCAGGTTTTGTTTTAAAACAAATATAGGCATAGGTATAAACTTACAATCTTCATGATTTGAAGATGTTTCACTTACACAGTTACACCGCCTATTACCATAATAGAGATGAAAATTTAAGAAGAAAGGATAGATATATAAGAAAATGCAAAATTTAGAGCAGATGTATACAGAAGAAAGTTGGAGTAGCAATTTTTTATGAGAAAATGACAAAAACTAGCCATAAGATGGTTTGGTCATGCTAAGAAGACCACTTGAAGTGGTCGTGAGAAAACAGGATTAGATGGTAGATGGTGCAATTAAAAGGGGGAAGATTAGACAAGACTTCAGGAGAAACCATTAAAAACAACATTACTTAAAACGGATATATTGCAAAACTTAGTTTTGACAGCACCTAACGATGTTGATTGATCAATGTAACTAATCCCATGTAGTGCAATAAGGTTGGATTGTCAAGATTGAGTTTTTCAATATTTTAACTTCTTGAAATTTGAAAATCTTCTAGTAATATCTCATATCTTTTGCATCTTGGTAACTATGAGTGGTTTTGAAGGTCAAGTTCGATCACAACCAATAACAGGTGTTGTCATGTGACTCTTACATGAATTTTCTGCTAGCAGAGTTGCTCTTTAACCATCTTCTTAGGCCACAATGCCACCAGGGGCATCAGTGTAGCAAATATTTTACAGTTGTAAGTGAAAAACCCATAAAGCCACAATACACAAAAGCTGCAAGTGTTGTTTTACCATGAATATATCATGTCATGATACAAAGGTCTTTGAATGTAATAAACACAAGGAGTGTATATCCACTCACAAGAAATTATTGGCCTAAACCAAACTTAATCTCAAAAGTTGCTCAATGGAGAAGGATTATCCAAGCCTTATCAGGAGTATTTTAGGCAGATTCCTTAATTATTTGGAGACATCTTAACACAAACATTTAAATCTATAATACCAGCAACTTATTTTGGTTGCATCTTCTAAGGCATATAAATGTAGTGAAATCAACAGTCCACAAGTGCATTCCAAGATTCTCACCTATATCTTCTGGGCATGCTGGAGAACCAGGTCCAGGTGATATGACAATATTATCAAATGCATTTTCTTCATATATGTAATGGCAAAGTTCTTCCCATGTCCAATCATCATTTTGGATCACCACGGGAGGGACTGGCAAAATGATAAACCAAACCAGCAGTTAAAATGGACATCAATTCCTTAAGTAAACTTAAACTTTCCAAGTACAGTGACCTTTAAAATGGCATCATCTTTATGTACTGGATTTTAGAATGTTCAAAAAGTTGTTTAATTCTTTCACAAAATATTGACATTTGTATTTTTATTTTTATTTTTTGTAACCTTAACATTAAGTGATCATCCAATGATTGGACATATTAGCATTACAGTTCCATTTTAAAGGTCCCTAATGGAAACCACATTAGAATGAACAGAGAGGTCTACAAAAAGGAGATAAGTTAACTCTATATGTTTAATATCATGTACAATAATAATAATAATTGGACATGATAAATTTACTCAAACATATCTCCTAATGCAGTTGTACTAAGACCCCAAAAGCTCTTATTCTTCTAAATTGATTGCTATGTATAACTTTAAATCAATTAAAATTTGAACTGACAGTCATATAAACTACACAAATAAATTTGTTTAATGCATTTTTTTCAACGTATAAGAACTTTATATTTTGTGCAGCTTCATGACAGAACAATATTGAATTGAATCTCTGCAATGAACCACTTAGTACATTTTTGGATTAAATTAAATTAATTCTTTTCAGGAATTCTTGCCCTGTAAGAATTTTTTCATTACAAGCTATCTTAAACAAACACATGCAAATAAACATTTCCAATTGTTTTCTACCCACAACCACATTCAAGTGACAGAGAGAGAACTTACCGCCATTAATAATAGAAAGTTCCTGGTATATATTGTATGTGTAACTATCATAGTTGTCAATCAACAATGTCCTCACAAAATCTGGCTTATGTACTGGCAACTGTACCCTTTTCTTTCTTTTATATGACTCCTCTACGTGGCTATGCATCAATTGACAAGAAACAGCGGCGTTTCTTCCGTCGCAATTAGATACTTGCTTATCACCTTTCTTAATGAAACAGGAGACTCTTACCGATGGTTTGGACAACAGAAAGTTCATATTTGCGTATTGCATGGATTCACTTGCAGGACATGTTAGCTCAGAAGACAACAAACGCAAAGACGAGTTCATTTTGCAAGGAAAAATATCCAAACAACTAGTCTCCACAACTTCTGCATATGAATATAATTAATTATCAGTAGTTCGGTAGCGCCTAGCAGGTTTTTAGCTAGTAATACATCAAATCATGCATGGAGAAGCAAAATCAAATTCAAGAGAGAATAAAAATATAAATTCGAGGCAAAAAAATGAAGATGAAAATAAGCAAAGATGCATATACGATTCTTAAGAACTTACATATGTTGAATTCTGTTGCGAAAGAGTTGCAGATTTAGGAGATCGAAGAGAGGTAGAAAAAGAAGAGAAAAAAGAGAATCAGAATGGTGTTGGTGGCGGTCGGGATTCGGAGCGGGTGGTGGAGAGGAAGTTGCTTCTGTATGGCTTTCCAAAGTGAATAAATGATAAATAAGAATCTATTGATTGGCGTGCTGGCGACATCTCCATTTCATATATTCAGTTTGAGGCTCTTGGACTCTTGGAAAAGCTATATATAATATTATTAGAAAATGCTAAAAAGTGTCGAAATTTTGGTTACAAAAATTTAAATAAATTTGAAGATATTGAAGATACAAAAATTTTGGTTACATTATCTCTTTTACTAATATTTTAAACGTAAAAAATAATGTGAAGATATTGTTTATTTACTTGTGGAAAATCATTTTTTTTAATAAAAAGTGTATGTTTTAAATAAAATATATTAGTAAATTTTCATGTATTATATTAAAATTATTAAATTAAAACAATATTTTAAATAAGCAACTAAAGATATTTTTTTAATTTTTAATAATTTTAAAATTTAATTATAATTTTTTAAGTATTTAAAAATATGTGACAAATTTAAATTGAGATTCAACTAAGAAAATAAATATTTAAATCAGAAGAACTCAAAAATTAGGTATGAAAAGTATATATATAGGTAGGAGAAATTAAATCAACTATATATATATATATATATATATATAATAAGTTCTGGATTCATGTTTAGCATACAACATTCACAAAAAAATATTTTTTGTTGAAAAAGATTATTTAGAAGACAGTTAAAGCAGTATTCTTGAGAAATATAAAAAATAAAAATAATCGTATAAAGATAAGTGTTGTTATTTTAGAGAAAGGAATATATATCTAGAAAAATAAATAATTTTCCCCAGCCGCCTCCACCAACTCCCTGTCTACGTCTACTTCCACTTTATTTGATGAACATCGATGGGTTCTACACACCATCGTATGCACATACGGAAGGGCCAAAATGAAACAAGACTGAAGAAAAATTAAATAACCGTTGAAAACTACTATTATCATACGTAATCGTGGACTGCGATCTCCATTGGATTTCCTCTTTCGATGTTGCATACTGCATCTGCCATTTAACTAAATGTTATACATTCTATTACTTACAGTATAATTTCTGTTTTTCAAAATCATTAACAAACATGTATTTGTTACCTAAATTGGTATTATCAATGATTATAAATGCTATTTTAAAAATGATGCTATCAAACAAGTTTTGTTTTTTCAGTGTTGAAATAGTATTTTCTTATATTATAAACAAAACGATGCCATGGTATGTTTGTTATAGATTTTAATAGAACTATTTTTAGAAATATTAGATAAAAAGCATTGTTCTAATGTTATTGTCGTTTAACGTTCATATTAAAATTCAATTAATTCCATTGGAGTTAAGATGTATCTGAGCAGTTTGAGTGAATCCATTTCAGGGGAGCAAAACTTTTTTCTGTCTTTGTTTTTATAGTAATTATTAAAATTGAATACTATTTTTTTCCTTGAAGACAGTACCTTTTTTTTAGTTTTTAAACTAATAGATGTTGATTAAAAACATGTGTTTGAAAAATGATATTTTAAAAGTGAACTTTTAACAAAATAATAATATTATGTAGGTCAAACTTCAAAAGTTAATCAAATTATTTATTTTACAAAGAATCTTCTTGAGTGATTGTGTATAAAATAAGTTCAGTCAAGTTGATACTTAAACTTAGATTTACTTTGTAAAAAAATAAATATTCAATTTGAATTTGTTTATCTAAGCAAGTTAGATTTAAAGACAAAACTTGCATTAATTAAAAATTTGTAAGCTTAAATTTTACTTATTAGCTCACGTGTAATTTTTTTATTTATTCCTTAAAACAACTTCTGAAAAACTAACAAGCAATTTTCACAGTAAATTATTTACCAATCATGCGGCAATAATTTACGCTGTAATAGCAAGGCAAATGTAATTGTACTCAGGAATGGGAGTACCAAACACTGCTCACCAAACAAGTAAAAAGCACACGCCCGAGCCACACACCAAACGGGATTTTGGCATTTTGAAGACAGGAGAAGGTGGTAGGTGGTGGCCACTTGTGTATTCTTCACACTATAATTACGCTTATTGCCACCAACCAACCCAAACTTATTACCCAACACCAACACCAACACCACCACCCGTTCCCTTTCTTCTTTTTCTCCCAACAACCAAACTTGGTAGTGTACTATACCTTTCACCATTGTGTTTGCGTTTCTCAATTTCACTCTCCGTGGTTTGGTTTGGCGTGGTTTGTTATATTCCCAATTTTCATGGCTTCTTCTCTCTCCACCAAACCATTCGGAACCGACGCTCTCTCCGCCGTCACTTCTCTCAATTCCGATCTCCGTTCCATCTCCTCCGTCTACCTCCGAGTCTCTTTCCGTCCTCGCCTTCCCAAGAGACTCCGTCAGTCCCCTCTCTCTCTCTCTCCCCTCTGTGTTAATAGCTTCGTTTTCGATTAATCCATATTTTGACCTGATTTTCATGCGTTTCTTCTTCATCGCACATACATACACACACGCGCACTCGCACTCGCACTCGCACTCATGTATATAGATATATATTGTTTGGATTATTATTATTATTAGTGATTAATCGGAATTTGAGAAACATCAGATACTAGAATATGCTCCTTGTTGATTTTCCACGTTTCTCTTTTCTGTTCATTTTTTGATTGGCTGAATTGATTTTCTCAGCAAACTGTTGGTTGAGTTAGTGTTCTGTTTTTGGTATTTAGGTTTCTGGTATCGGTTGTAACTTCTTGTGAGGAATGCATTGTGACATTATTTTTGTAATGTAATTCGTGAAGGAATTTCTGAAAGTGCTTCTATCATGTAAAGTGAAATTGGATGTGACATTTTTCGAACCCCCGTTTTTTCCAATCCTCTAGGAATAGCCGCTAATGTTAATTTTCCTAAAGCTGTCTCCTAACTTTGAAAATTTAGCCCATTTTAAACTTTGAAATTCACAAGCTGATGTGGGCACAGTCTTAAAAATATGGTTTGCTACATCTTTTAGGTTTAACTGGTAGGAACTGAAAATTTCAGAAACTAATGTTAATAGCTTTTAGAAACTGTTTGAAGTTTGAACCTTCTTTATAATTTCAATCTTCAATAAGTTGGGTTGGAGTCTATGTTAAACACAATGAGTTAAAGGAAATGAGTTGGTTCTTATGCCAGTTACATTGTATGTTAATGTTAAGAATTCTAAATTAATGGCATCAAGGTGGCTGGACTGCTAAACTTTCCGAAACCTTCAACATATTACAGAGATACAGGCGGCAGGGAGTACCTATGGGAATCACTTTCGTGTTACAACATATGGAGAATCTCATGGAGGAGGTGTTGGTTGTGTTATTGATGGATGTCCTCCTCGCATCCCTCTCTCTGAAGCTGATATGCAAGTGGATCTTGACAGAAGGTGCTTGCCTCCAATACCATCTCATTATCTTCACTGAATTACTAGCACTGTGGAAAAACCACTTTGAAGACTAAAGAGAAATACTTAATGGATAGTTTCTTTTATTGAAATGTGTGCTTCACTGATAGTGAGGGAATATGACATTTGTGAATAATATATAATGATTTCTTTAGATGCAACATGTCTTCGAAGAATAACCGTGTAATTCTTATGTATAGGAGGCCAGGTCAGAGCCGAATTACAACTCCTAGAAAGGAGACTGATACATGTAAAATATTTTCAGGAGTCTCTGAAGGTCAATATTTCTTCTGACTATTATTGGCTGGGAAGTTATTTGTTTCTTGGGAAAAGGGTTGAATTATAATCTCTTAATTGCAGGACTTACTACTGGAACCCCAATTCATGTATTTGTACCCAATACTGATCAAAGAGGACATGTGAGTATCTAATGCTAGAACTTGTTTATGACAAACAAACATTATCTTAATTTAAGGGTGTTGTTAAACTCTGGGAGACTTTTGCAGGACTATAGTGAGATGTCATTAGCTTATAGGCCTTCCCATGCAGATGCTACCTATGACATGAAGTATGGTGTCAGATCAGTTCAGGTACTGATTTTCATAGTGTAATGAGTATAGGTCGGTAGATGAGCCTGCCTGCCCTCAGCTTGCATTAGCTCACTGTTAAATGGGCTAATTTTCATAGGCCCACATTTAAATGGGTCCATTATTTACAAGTCCACTGTTAAACTGGACTTTTTGAAAAAAAAAATGCATTGTTAATTTATTTTACTTACATTTTATTGTTTTACATTAAAATAAATAAAAAATAATTTTTTAAAAGAAATGGTAGAGATTGATAATTTCCTTTTATACATGTTAGACATGTTGAACTGCGAACCTGCAGACTCAACCTGTTTAACTTTGTTGATTATGTGGACTAATCCTCATAGGACCACAACTCAACAGATCACATTTTTTAATGTTTATGCCTGCAAATTTGTGGGTCAACTACCTCTATTAATGAATAAAGCATTTTTATTCAATGAGATGAGTAGGTATTAAGCTCATACATCTGAACTCTCATGTTTAAGGGTGGTGGAAGATCTTCTGCAAGGGAAACAATTGGAAGGGTTGCTTCTGGTGCTGTTGCTAAGAAAATCCTTCAAAACTTTTCTGGAACGGAGGTGTGCTACTTGTCTCATGAGTTTAGGCTATTATTCTTTGTGATATTTCTTCATTTTTTTTATTTTTTTCATTCATACCAGCCCAGAGGGATATATTAATTTAGGAATGTATTAGCTTTTAATCCATATTTACATTTTAATTGTTCACATTCATATCATTTTTTATTTTTTTGGTTCTTTTGTTTGTTTTCAAAAGAAAAAAAATTATTAAACTAATGATACAAATAGCAACTACAATAGCCTCATTTTACTTGGTAAGGTTGGCTACATAGATCATATAGCAATGATGACACCATTGGGCTCAATTAAAAATCAAAGTCTCAAGAATATTATTTACCATGAAATCCTTTTTAATAATTTTCTCCAAGGTTGTTCTTAACCTTTCTTGCACGTAACACGATTTTAAGTGCCTATTCCTTAAGAAATATCCTTGGTTAATGGTCTCTTATTTTTCAGATTCTTGCCTATGTCTCTCAAGTTCATAAGGTGGTTCTTCCTGAGGATCTTATTGACAATGATACTCTGACACTTGATCAGGTATTAAAGTTAATATTCATATTTTTCTATGCACAAGCAGCACAATGGTTCCTTTTGTAAAGCTGTATGAAGTAAATTTCATGTATTCTAGGCATGAAAATGACTATTTGTTTTACATTTATTGTGTTTTAATGGATATTTGGATCTCACTAACAAATATTTTGATCAAACTCACTTATTTGCAATAGAATGAATTTTCCAAATCATACTTACAACTCTAGTCTGATTTTGTTAGAAAAATGCTGGCATTTGTAAACAATCTGACTAAATTGTATTTGTCCTTGTTTAATTTAAATTCAATGTATTAACTTCTCTTTCCCTGGCTTTTAATAAGTTCACACCAGAATATTAATACCAATGCAGAAAAAACAAGTTTTAGTTCACGTATCTGCTTACATAGCACACAACACTTCTCTAAAACTTAATCTGATTTCTGCTTTTATCTTAAAACTACTCTCACACTAGTGATTCTTGCCAAAGAAATCTCATTGCAATCCTAAATAAAATTCAACATTTTTGTCAACAAGTCACATGACTAGTGACTATTACTTAGGAAATGACTGTTAACAATACTAAGGATATTTTACCATCTCATCTCAACATTCTCTCCCGGGACATTCAGGCACAAAGCTGAATTTTGGGTAAATGTGCATATGTATTAGATTGTTCTCTTAATGACCAGAATACAGGTGTATAATTAGTGCATGAATAAACATGTCAAATCTATTTATTTTTAACTGATGATGAGGTAATGATAATAAAAGGGGGCACCATTCATATAATACTGGTGTATTTCATGAAAATATAGCTAATGCATTTAATCTGCTGTAGACTTATTCCTATATATTCACCAAATTATTGTCTTTTTTCTGTCAACTTTGTCCAAAATTCTTACAGTGCCCTTTCCAATATGTTATGCACTTGCTTGCAAGGAAATTAAATAAACCAATATTGAATTCAAAGTAATTTATGATGTGTGAATATCCTAATTTTTCTTTTATTGAATAAATGCCATCATGCTGTCCCATTCAGCGACTTATTGCTGTCTTTCAAATTGACTGATTACTGTCATAGATAATACTTATAATGGATGTTATTATCAGTATTTATTCTTCCAACACTGAAGCCAAATTCCTGATTAACAATTTTTTTTGGGAATTTGTCCAGATTGAGAGTAACATTGTCCGATGTCCAGACCCTGAATATGCTGAGAAGATGATATCTGCAATTGATGCTGTCCGAGTGAGAGGTGATTCTGTTGGTGGTGTTGTAACGTGCATTGTGAGGAACTGTCCACGTGTAAGTCTTTTCACCTGTCTCTGTCAAGTGGAAATAATTGAGCAAGATAGCAAGTAGAGTTTAGGTTAATAACAAGATTCTAAAAGTGATCACAGCTGCAACTGCAAGGGTTCTCTTGTGAAACTTAGCTATCAAAGGACTAGTGAGTTTGAAATAGAAATGTAACTACTATAATGAAAACAACAACATTTAGAATATAAAAACTAAATCCCCTTTCCCCTATAATCAACGGTGAGCTGGTGAGGGTAGTGTAAGACCCCCCTCCTTTCCCTTCTGATTTCTGAAAAATATATTTTTACTTGTGTTTTAATATATTGGTCCCTCTAAACAGTAATTTTTTTCTTAAATATGTTTTTTGTACCTTAAAATTTAGTCAATCCTGATTTTCGTCCCTATATTTTGTTTCCTATTTGATTCCTTATTTTATTGAAACACATGTTTTTAATCCCTATTGTTACACTTGCTTTATTGATGGTACGTGTCAATGATCCATTTGTCACATCATCACATAAGGGAGAAATCTAAAGACAGGGATAAAATACATGTATTTCAATAAAACTAGGGATTAAATGAAAAAGAAAACTATTTTTTAGGGACAAAATCAAAATTAACTAATTTTTCATGAATGAAAAGCATATTTAAGCATGATTTTTTTCTCCTATAAGAATGTCTTTTGACTTTGCCTTTGATATTGCTAAATGATTGATCTAACTACCTGTGATATTGCAAAATGATTGATCATCAAATTAACCTAGTAAATACACGTGACACGAAATCTTGTGGAAACTCTTAAGTACAGTGGAAATTTGGCCTTAACTAAGCTCAGACAAGCTGTACTCTATAGTCATCCATGCAAGTTTTAGAGCTTCCCTTCCATGTAAGGCATATATGTTACTCCTGTAATAATTGCAGCCCAATGCCAATTAACATTAGATTGCTCTTTGAGGTCTTTTGACCCGTTATTTGATACTTTAATAATTGATAACTAGCATGAGGGGAAAAAAAAAAGGAGGAAAAAAGCACTGCTCTGAAACCATGCCTTTTGTCTTGCAACTTGGAATCTTCCTTTATAGTCTACTTGCTTTCCTGATATCTTGTAAGGCACTTGTTAATTCTCATACTAGCACATTATTCAGATTTTTCATTTGGTTTCCAGTTAGAATAGAAATAACATTATTATTTTTCAGGGTCTCGGTTCACCAGTATTTGACAAACTTGAAGCTGAGCTGGCTAAAGCTGTCATGTCATTGCCTGCAACTAAGGGCTTCCAATTTGGTAGTGGGTTTGCAGGTACTAAAACTTGCTTATGTATATGAATGAATGCCTTTGTCTTATGATTTTGGTCTGCCTAAACACGGATAAACAGTGTTATTTTCTTTGATCACTTGTGTCTGAGGTCTGTTCTGATGTCTTAATGAAATCATTGCAGGTACGTTTTTGACTGGGAGTGAACACAATGATGAGTTCTATATAGATGAACATGGAAAGACGAGAACAAGAACCAACCGCTCTGGCGGGATACAGGTGTTTGTTCTGTTTCTAATTGTGCATTATGATGATCATGCATCCATATTTGCTTTACTTATACTATCTACATATCAGGGTGGAATTTCCAATGGGGAAATCATTAACATGAGAATAGCTTTCAAGCCAACATCAACAATTGGTGTAAGTCCAATCTCTTCTCATTCCATCTTCATCACTGTCTCATGCATCCATAGCAACACACACATGTTCAATGATATCTTTCACACTGCTTTTTTTGGTTAGAATATCTAGAAAATGTTTTATAATATTTTAGAGTATTTTCAATAATCTCTTAAGAGTGCATTTTGTTTTTTTATATTTTGTTATTTATGTTATAGGGATTTAAGTAGACAAAGAGGAAAAGAGAGATGAAAGAGGTTGTGAATAATATTCTGTGTATTTTAATGTGATGTGATAGTCATATGATGTGCTTCAAAAGAGAAAGCAATGTCCCGATTAGTATTGTCATAAGCCAGTAATCCTAAAAGCTTTCGATGTTAGGCCTTCGCTTATGAATGGTCTTATATGACATTTCTTATAGCCTCCTTAAAAGTGTTCATCAGGTTTAAGGTGCGGACAACACACAATCCCCTCCTAACATGTGCTAAAATTTAGCTTTTAATTTGATGAATGAGGGTGGCAAAGATCAAATTCTAAATCAGTTGGTCATAGAAGCTTTGATACTATGGCATGAACCAATGGTCCCAAAATTTTAAACTAGTGAAGAACTAGATAGATGAATGATTTTATATAACAGTTCGAAGTTCTAACAAGTAGGAATCCTATATTCTTAATCCTAATCCTAATTAAATAGGGAAAAATCATAAAATATATTGCAATATATAAACCCTTCTAAGAGATCATCTAAGATATTCTAAAGATTCAATAGTGATATTAATACTGAGACATATTTTCTGAATATCCTAACTTTTTTTCTTGTTTGATTAACATTAGGAGACTAGTGCCGGTATAAATAGGAATTAGTGCTATGCATTTTGTATCACATCACAACACATCTGTATGCATAAGAGAATATTATCTGGTCTCTTCTATCTCTCTTTGTTCTCTACCCAAGTCAGGCAGTTACTCTGGTTGTTTCTCATTCCACGTAGTGTACACTTTCTGATTGGTGACTTGACTGGTTTGTGGGTCAATGGGTTTTCCTCAGACACTTCCCCTTTCAGTTCCATCACTGAAGCTGCTTCATGCCAAATGTTCATCTACTGAGCTGCATTGCATTAGCTCTCTTTTCCTCCTTTGCTACCTTAGCCACATACTTCCAACAATTTTAATTACTCTGATAACATGACGCCTGGTATTTTGACTGGCATTGAGGAACTCCAACATTAAATGTGATTTTAATTCTTTATCTACTCATTTATGACATGATGTTTTATATCCATGCCATAACCTAGAATGTTACCAATATATGTTGATACACATTCATTGTTGTTTTTCTTAGTTCTTTGCTGTTTCTTTTGTGTGTTAAGAACGTTCCCCCCTAACTATTTGTAATAATAACTGTCTGAATACACACCTTTTGCCTCCCAGTGTGTTGTGCTTGAACTTTGAAGTAGTGCATTAGTACTGTTCCCAATATGGGTGAAACATTATTTATGTTAAAGAAAAAAAAATATCCAAGCCAAAAAATAAGTCAACCGTAACTGCTACAATTAAGGTCATAAAAGATAAATGAATGGAACAACCAGATTGTAACTATGATAATGTATTGCTTTGTCTCTGAATTGACCCATATGAATTCCTTGTCTGTGTAATTCATTGTTTGTTAGACTGAGCATAAAACTTTGCTAACCTCAGGAGCGGGAGAGGATGAGAATAGAATATACCTGTTTTCAGTAGAAAGTGCTTAGAGTGAATTCTTTGGTTCATCTTATTAACCTTTTTCCTTACTCTATCCATAAAAAGGTAGCAGTTGCTCATTTTTCAAAAAGTAAAAGGTCTTTGTTTTGGGGTGGCAATTGAGGAGCCTTGGGTGTTCATCCTCTTGGTCGCCCCCAACCACCACCACCAGTTCCTTGGCATATCATGTACATGTTCACCCCATCTTTAGCTGATTAGGTGGTTTGTAGCATTTTAATTATTCATGACAATGATTTTGTGCTGCCTTAGTGTCTTTGATATGATATGAACATGATATTACACTTGTGCAGAAGAAACAACTTACAGTGACTCGAGATAAAAAGGAAACAGAGCTGATAGCCCGTGGCCGCCATGATCCTTGTGTTGTCCCAAGAGGTTAATAACTCAGCCTTCTTTAGAGTTTCGTTTTCATTAGCTTCATGTCAGCTTTTATTTATTTATTTATTGGTTTTAAAAATTTTGTCTTTGATTTCATCTAAGTTGCTGAGACAATCCTTTAGAATTGAGTTAACTTTGACCTGAAAGCGCTGGATAATTTGTTACATGACAACGTTTCCACAAGTACATCTAAATCTAATGTCAGAAATAAAGAAGAGTTTTGTGTCTTATGTGTCTCTGCATGATTTTCTATCATGAAAAAAATTTCAACTCTTTTTGTTTGCTTGCATTTTTCATCCGTTGAAAAGAAAATTTCTGAAATTTTTGTTTGGACTGGGCTTGCAGCTGTACCAATGGTAGAGGCCATGGTAGCTTTGGTTCTTGTGGACCAATTGATGGCACAATTCGCACAGTGTAGTCTGTTTCCCATAAACTTAGATTTGCAAGAACCCTTGGTGCCTATATTAGAGACAGAAGAAGTGCCTTTCTGAAAGAAGATGAATGGGATGCACGGTGGCCTGTGTTCAAATCTTCATTCTGGCTAAATGTTTAGTTGACAGTTAATTCACTTTGATGACAAACTCAAGTTTCCCTCTTGCGAGGATCCGGCTCCTGGTGTGCATGTTCACATTCTCGCTAATATGTTTGCGGGTGCAATCTATCATTTTGTATTAATGTAATTTAAACTGTTTTTTTCCCTCCTTTTTCATTTTTCTTGTGAACATTGTTTCTAGAACACCTTGCTGCAAAAGCAACGAAATAGATGTATTCTTATAGTGAATTGGTATGATCTGCATGTATTAAGTGTAACAGTTTTGAAAGGTCTTAAAATTGTTGCTCTGCATTTCAATAAATGAAGCTTTGACAAGTTTAGCTGGTTCTTCATATTGTGCATTATGATTACGAAGACGATTTTGAAGTTTTAGATATTTCTTATTACGTATTCATATGTGCACAAATTAACGTAAATATTGATAAAAGGTAGAACACATGTCACGAGCCTTTTTAGAAGTTGAGAGCAATATCAAAATTAAGTGAAAAACCAAACTCAAACCAATTCGAAGGGTTTTTTTTTTCCCCTAAAACAAAACAGTTATATTCTTAAATTCAAAAATGTTCATTTATCGCAATTGAAATCTTCATACATGAAAAGTAGATCAGTAATTTTTTATAATTTAAACGTTAACTTTATCATTATTAATTATAATTTCATATTTACCCCTCTGAAATTCATGTCTCCTCTTGAAGGAGCTAAATTCCTCGTTTTCCTATTAAAACTTTGGACAATCCTTGGCTATCTTTCAATCTTGAAACTTACAATGTAATAATTATAAGCGTTTGTTTCAGGTTTTAAGGAAAGTGATTTTAAGAATGTATAAAAAGTAATTTAATTTTAGAGAATTTATAAAAAAATTAGAAGTTATTTTTTTATTTGAATATAATTATAAAAACTTTTTTATTCTATTTGGAATTTATAATTTCAACCTTTTTTTTAAGTTCTTCAAAATAACTTCTCAAAAAAGTTATAATTAAATTGTTTTTAGTTTTTTTTTTCAATATCTTAACTCAGCAACATGAAAATTTAAAATTAATTTTAAAAAATGTACTTTTATTTTTATCCATGAAATTACATTAAAACTAAAGTAAATAAAATCTCATAAAAAAAAAAAGCATTGTTAAATATGAAGGCATATTATTTTATTTAGTTATTTCTTCAGAAAGAAATTGTTGTGGTTAGCGAGTTCAGTGGGTTTTAATCGATTCAAACTGACGGAATTTAGTTATAGTACTGAATCATAATAAACTGGATTATCGACTCTCGGCAACACTATTCAGTTGAATCCATCTACGCAACACAATTTAGAGTCGATTCATTGTTTCAGTTTATTTTTGCCTAAAATTATCACTTTTATCTCTTAAAGTACGTGATTTTAACTCTCTTTTTTCTCTGAACTTCTAATTCCTCTCTAATTTATATTTACTCCTATTATTAACAGTTAAATAGTATTGTTGAATATTGTTAAGAAGTGCTAAGAATAGGCCTAGTCAGAATTTAATATCCATTCTGCAAATCTAATTCTTGTTATCATTAAGTGTTTCTAGCATAACATTTAATTTCCTTGTCCTCTTTATTTACCAACAGTTAATTACCGTGTTCGTCATTCATAATTTAATTTGGAAAAATCAATTTAAAGTTTAGGCGTAATTCAGTATTATACATAATCAAATCCTCGAGTTGTAATTAATTAGTATTCGCCAATCATAAATATGACCGTAAACTTTTCTTAATGACCGTGGATGCATAATTAAATTTTATTGAGTAAAATGACGATATGTTTTAAATTAAAATAATGATTCACATATATACTCACCCTAACTTGTCTACTCTGCAGATAAATTTATTTTAGATGAGCCCCGTCCAGTTCTCCATTAACAGTGAGACAACATTCAAATCGAATGTTATTTGTAATGTTAGTGTTTTATTTTTAAAGTCATAACTCTCATTGGCCTCACTTAATCACTATTCCAAATTGAGGTTTGTGTCCCCTGGAAATATAAAATTACAGTTCAAAACACAAAGTAATATATATTTATAATTTATTTCTTGAAATTATTATTGATTTTGGATATCGATTATCATGCATCACTTTAACTTCTCTAACGATTACCCTTAAATCTTAACGAATTCTCACATTTTTGTTTAATGTGAAACGTTATTCTTGATTTAATTTAACATTTGTTAATTTAACAATAAAACAAAAATAAATTACTATAAAATATTTCAACATTTATTTATATTTATATTGTTACGTTGCTTTGAGTTCCATTAAAATATGATTTTATATATTATTTTCATCATTTTTTAATTACAACTTGTCCGTAAGTTTTATAGTAATGCTATTAATATATATATATATATATATATATATATATATATATATGTGAGTAATTCCTAATCAAGACGATAGATATAAAATGTTCATGTACTTTCATGACATGTTAACAGTATTTTCATGATCATGCATCTTGTAGTTTAATTTTTTCCTCATTTTTCAAATAAAAGTTGAATTTTACGACACAATAGCTAAACTTGTGAAACAGTTAATTAATAATAGAGTTAATCCACTTGGAGGCTTTACACGAGCTAGAGCTCATTGGCAATTTATTATTAAAAACATAAGTAAAATTAATAAGATTACAATGTATAAATCCCAGAGAATAAAAATCACTCAACTCAAATATGTCGTCAAATCAATACAAAAGAAAATTCGTGTATGATCATATTAGTCACATTTTAAATAATTAAAAAATAATTTGGGCTATAATTTGATTAAGACTATAACTAAGCATTCAAACTTCATTAATCCTAAAACGTCAGCCAATATAATATAGCCTAGGTTGTTGAAGTATCAATATAAGTTAGTTTGTCTTAATTAAATTAAGTGATAGCTGATTTTTTTTTCTTGAAGTAAATTCTACTTTATATACCTTTTACTTCAAGAATTTCACCAAATATGTTTGTTTCTGTTCTTCTTCTTCTTCTTTTTAACTAAAAAGCAATTGCAATTAAAATTTATACTAAACATGATAATTGAAAAATGAGATATGAAAAACCCTATAAAAATTTTATCATAAAAAATTATTTTCATAACCCATCCAAAACACTTTCAGTCACTATCTTTCTATCACGTTCAAGACAAAATAACGACCAATAATTGTTTAGCAGAAGAAATATAAATGATAAAGAATGAAAAGTCATTGAATCGGTGCACACAGATAATAGCTTTAAATTTGTAGTTTTTGTTACTATCCATCCAGTGTCCACAATGACTCATTGAGACGACAGCTTATATTTTTGTGACATGTCGTATTGCACGAATTGACTTGTAAAACATACATAGGCACCTAACTTTTCTCTATGATTATTGTTTTTAATTTTAATGATATTATCAATTTGGTCGGTTTAAGATAGCTATATTCACCATATATGGTATGTTTACATTGGAAGTTTGTCAAATTTCTAATTAACTTTAATCACATTTCATTTTTCATAATTTGGTCGTTGCAACTGAAGGATCTGCATGGAAATATATGATTGGATATGTCGTTTTTTTATTTTTTAATTGCATGTAAGTAAACCAGTTTCTTTCCAACATTTTTGGTTTATACTGGAACCATTCTTTTACTATATTATATAACACCTTAAAAAACTGCATTTTATATTAAAAAAAAACAGTATATGTTATAAATAATCTTGGAATATTATAATGTGCGAGAGAGAAGTGAATTTTTAGCTCATTACTGCTTTATAATCAAACAGCATTCATAGCTTTGTATCCAGTTAATGATAAAAACACAATAATATGTAGTTTAATTGACAGATAACTTTTATATTTAGCTAATTAATTGAATTAAATGGGTTCGCCCATCACTGACGGGAGTTAGGTTTAATTAAAATAATGATAATTTTTTGCAACATAACCAATTTAGTTAGCCATTAAAAGAATGTTCATAGAGAAAAAAAAGAATTTGATGGTATTAAAGTTTTTATATTATTATATAATTATAAATTATTACATTTTATTATAATTATTTTAAAAATTATTTTAACAATATTTTTTAATTATTTATTAATATAAAAATATTTATATTACTGCTATATTAAAATTATTCTAATTTAATATGTGATTTTATATTTGAGTCTTCAAAAAATAAAATTATATTAAATACTCAAGGAGAGAATTTTACTATCTATATTATATTCTGAGTAAGATTGATTCTAATAAAAATAAATGTAATCTGAATAAAAAAAAATTAAAAAAAAAAAAAAGAGTCAATGCAAGCGACATATTAATATTAAGATTACAGTATTATTAAAAAAAAACAGTCATGTTACTTTTTGTGTGAAAGAAAAACTTAAAATAAACAACAACAAAAACAGGATGCATCACTTATATAGGATTTAGTTAAGAGAACATGATGTCAAGATTTAAACTCAAACTATATGCACATGATCTTAGTTTTATAAAAATAGCAATATCATTTTTCTCAGAATTGATTTTAAACCATTAAAGGCAACAATAAAAAATATACAAAAAAATATTAAAAAAATGCAATAAATACTTTACTTTTTAAAAAGTACATGTATTTTTAGATTATTAAAATTTTCATTTTTTTAATCTGTACTCAAAGACATATATTAAGAAGTTAAAAATAAAAATATTTATTTTTTTAAAGTTATAAAAGATATGAGTACATACTTTTTATATCCTACGGTATTGTTAAAATTAACTTTTAAAAGTGATGTTGGTAAAATCTAAAGTTTAATTAGGCCATAAATCCCAGTACATTGATGAGTACTTGCTTGCATCTTGAATATATGTAGCAGTGGTGGGTGAATGCAGAAAATGATATAGAAAGTGTGCACGCTTTTCCATCCTATAAATTGACAATTGCATAATGCAGATTCTTCACAATTATACCTTTTAATTCAGTCCTTGTCTGTTAAAAATTTTCCAGAAACTTATATACTTTATTACCGATAAACCTCAGAGTCCACGCTTCATGCCCATTTATGTTTATAGTGGTTTGTGAAAGCGAAATATCACTGTATCATATATTATCAAATCTACAAAAAAAGATTCAGTGTGTACTCAACTACAACTCTTATTGAAGGTGAACTCTCTAATCATCCCAATAACAAGTTTTTCCAAGCACGACACGTTAATGGGGACTTAATTAATCTCAAACTATTCATATTTCTGGGGTCATTATTTTCTGTTAGCCATCCTTCTACTCTAATAACAGCCAACTAAATATGATTGCCTTTTCGTTTCAGCTCATATATGATGATTGAAGAGAGAAAAAAGCGAGACAG